TTATTTCCCAAACAGTACATCTGTGTTTTCTACGTATGGATGATTTTAATACAGTGCTAAATTGAACTGCCAGTTTGGCTTGTGGTATCCAGGTGTTTCAATCAAATGGTTGCAACATACAGTGAATTTCAACCTCATCTATTTGCTCTCAGCGGGTAAGTGTCATGAATGGGAGTGAATTTCGAATCCTGTCAAGTCGTGAGTTGTAAATGATGGTGGTGGCTGCAGGAATAGTTGTGAGGACATGTGTTAGTGATGAAGCTGTGTTAATAAGTACCTCTGCATTTTGCTTGTGCTGACATATAAGACTAAACCAAAGGTATTAAAAGCATTCCAAGCCCTTTAACTTCTCTAGTTATACCAACTTTAGGAACGACAACAACAACCAAGATAGCAATACACAGTGGTCCCAAGAGCCATACGCTCAACCAATAGGCCACTCTATACCACAAATAATGCTCAGAACAGCACCTAACTTCATCAATAGTACATTTAGGGTCCCAGCCATAGTGCTAGCCACCAAACATCTTTTCAACTTTGCCTGGTTTCTTTAGCAAAGAGACCAAACACAACTCACCCACTCTCTTCCAGCAGCTGTTTGTTTGTACAGAGATCTCAGGTGATGTTCCAGTGGCTGCTGGAAGAAAGTGGGTGAGTTGTGTTTGTCACCTTGTGGCTTTTTGGTAGAGCGCGTGTCTCCTTGGATCGCTGTGTATTGCTATTGTGTGGTCGTTTCTAAAGTTGGTATAACTAGAGGAGTAAGCGGTCTGCAACATTCATCTGTTGACAGGGTGTCTAACTCGGTGTTACGGTGTGTTTGACCCTAACTTAATTTTATGCCAGAATATCCCTTTAAATGCATGGTTTGTTGAAGCCAAGTGGACTTTATAAATATTAACTATGATGTTCAGGTTTTGCAAGACAACATAACACAGTGTATAGCTTTATTTACTGATACGGGTTAATAGCTAAATAATTTACCAACAAACACTCATTAAAGCAGCAGATAAACAATTCATAACCTCTCTTGTACAAAGTGACAAAGTGGAACCGGCCATCAGAGCCCAAAGCACTAATGTGTATCTCCCCCCTTGTCTTAAATTTTAGGCTGACACCCCAGACAATTGAAGTCAGACGTTCCAGCTTTGACGTGTATTGCATTAATGTTTCTGGACTTGATTGAACCACCTGGTTGTCAAATAAAGTAGCACATGGCACCTTTTGCGGCTATTTTAAGTGTTGTAAAAGTAGGACAATGGCCTGAGGAGACCCGGTGTTTCATTAGGGTTATAAAGTTGGAGCGGGTTCACTGACATGGGTCCAAAAATCCTCCATAAGGCTCAGCATTTAATTCACCCTCCTTCATATCCACTCTGGGCTCATTGTAGCTGCAGTATACAACATTTACTGCACTGTGCCTTCCTTAAGGTTCATTATTAGCAAACAGTATATAAAAACTAATAACACCCAAACTAAACATCATTGTCAGCAACAGCAGCCTGATGGGTGATGGACTAACGACCCTTCTGCTGGAGAGGATCCAGTCAGTCATTAAAGTTTCCACTTTTAAAAGGCAGGCCCCAGCTGTCATTGGCTTCCTCCTATCAGCGGAAAAAGCTTGTTTAGCAGGTGAGAAATTCCATATCATAAGCGGAGCAATAGGATTAACAATGCAGAGGAGTCTCTCTGCATACAAAAGAGGCTGCAGGCACTCTTGCAATTTCCACCTCCACAACCAAACTATCCTCCCTAAAGTATAACCTCAGATCCTTTAGCAGGTGGCCCTAAATGACCAAGTTATTGCAATTTCCTCGTACCTCTCCGAAGGCTTTGTCATTTTAATAAGCAGGGTGACAAAAGGTAACCTTGCGTGAACCTTTTTAAACCATAACCACATGAAATGAAAACAGTATTTCAGTTATTTTATCCTTTTTATTTACAGTTCCGAAGTTCCAACAAACATGATCATATAACACTTCACATTTTGAGCATTTATTGATTATATTCTTTGTTTTTACAGAGAAACAACAGGGATCCACCAATGAGCAAGCAGAATCAGACTCTCTAGACTGATGGCGAGGCGAAGAAAAGTAAGTTTAGATTACTTTTTGGTCCTGCATCTTAACACATATTTCCACATTTTATACCCTGTCTGTCCAACTGTGAGTCCACACACATCAAACCTATCCGTCATTAAGTCTTTGAATTAGTGCTTTGAAAAGGAAAAGGTTTGTATAGAACTTCTGTCTCATACATTAGTCAAATGCACACACTGTGTAGCAGGTTCATAACCTAAGCAGAGCAATGTCATCACGGAGAATGCAGTTTCAGCGTATTCAGCCCCTCAGAATTTTGTTTCATGATGTCAGTTAAAAATCTCTGATATATAATCTTGCCAGAACCAATTAGGCTACAGTAAACCTGTATCTCAAATTCCCACATTAAAACAGAAGCACTCTTCTGAGACACATGCCAGGACTGCAGAGTTAATTAATCCCTGCAATCAGAGGTCTGATGAAATAAGAGCTGAATGCTGCCCCTCCCAAGACAACTGTTAACAGAGCTGTTCTGCTCTTATTAGTTCTGCAAACTGCTTATCAGACAGCTCCAAATCCAAAGCCCAACACGCAATCTACAGTCAAGAGTTGCTCTCAGGAAATCAGCTTAAAAGTATGATTGCGACCCAAAGTACTGACTTCAGAACAGTGCTGTGACTTTGATCAAGACAGGATACGCAGCATCTATGGCTTTAACAGAATCAGTTTTAGAAAAGACCTGTGGACGTGTGTAGAGTCTTTGATGCTTTACCCAAACTAATATATTTGTGAAAACTGCTTGAGCCTGAAGTAGTTAAATTACTCCAGTACTCTCACTTGCTGTGGGTATCATCCACATTACGTTCACTTTTCAAAGCTGTTTCCAGATTTACTCCTAAAATGTTCTTTTTTATCACAGCTTCACCACCTAATACTACTTCAAGTGGCAACTGGACTCATGAACAGGTTCGGGCATCACCATATTCATGCTCTTCCTTGATGGAAACCAATTCCATTCAACCAGTCTGAAGAAATACAGCACCATGCAGAGACTCTTGAATGCGGAGGCCTGTGCTGCACAACAGCTCTGGAGTTGGATCAAGGTGTTACTGGCTTATCGGAAAGTGTCAGACTGTGACAGAAATGTCATAAAAAGATCTTTTCTATTATTTAAAAGACAACATTGAACAAAGGGAACTGGGGTTAACTGAAAGTATAGTATGAATTTTTTTTAAAATAAGTTTCTAATTGGACTTAAAAACAGAAAATACTGATTGGCTCAACTCCTGTGCTGAATTCCCTAGGGGGACAATAGTGTGTATTGTATCGTATCAAATTCTATTGTATCCTATTGACTTGAGCATATTGTATCATATTGTAATTTATCGAACATTATTGTTTCATCCTCTATTGTATCATATCTATCATCTACTATTGTATCCTATTGTAACATAGCATCTTCGATTGTATCATATGACATGGCATCATATTATATTGTGATATATCATAACATATTGTCTTCTATCATCTCATGTCATATCTTAACAGATTGACTTCTATCGTATCCTATTGTAATGTTTAGGATCATATCATGACATGGCATCATATCACATTGTATTGTAATGTATAATAACAAATCGTCTTCTATCGTCTCGCATCATATCGTAACAGATCGACTTCTATTGTGTCCTATTGGTCCTCTATGGTATCATTTCACTTCCTTCAACATATAAAACTGTATTGTAACATATCGTCTTCTAACTTATCGTTTTGTCTCCTATTGTCTTTTATCGTATTGTAACGAGCACAGACAGGGTGAATCTCACTACCATATTAAATTACTTAATTTTAACAAAGTCTAAACCCAAACACTGTTTATGTATTCGCTCTCTATGTCTTTATGGGTAGTTCACCTACACCAAATGTAGATTGCAAACTGGCTGACTTGGTTCTCACTCAAGCAACTTCATTTATCCCTTAAGGGATGTCTTATTTCCTAAAAGTACTTTGTTGCAGAAAGAAACCTAAGCAAAAACACCCATGCATGAGGCTTATTGTTCCTCAGTGACGCCTGTTTGAAGGCCACCTTTCAAAAGCTGTCTGTGTTTGTCCCCGGTTTCCCTTTGGTTAGCTTTGAAATTTTGGCTTCAAAAGTGGTTTTCACTTCATTATAGGATAGGATAGAACCACGCCATTGTGCATTTAATAAAAAAAGGAGAAAAAAAAAAGGAGACTAGGAGACGGCTTGAATGGAAAGAGGGAGACAGAGATGCCAGAGGAGCTTGAACAAATAGTTTCAGACATAATGAGCCTATATAATTTCAATGTAAACTGCATCTAATTGTCAGTATAATAAATTAGTGTTTTACATCGGTATTAAATACATTTGTTGTTACTGCGGGCTGTTTAGTACCAGCTTGTAAACTTAATTGATTAGGTTATAGAGGTAAACGCTCCCTGCTGTCTACTGTCATGAGTAAATTCAGTGGAGCAAGAAGAGGCTGCCACATCATTCACTTCCTGTAGTTTTCTTTTTAATAAGAGAGACGTTCATTAATCAGATAAAACGTCTCACACTGAAATAGAGGTAAGTGCAGACTGTTACCCTCAGAAGTGCTGTTGCTGGCTCCATTTCCAACCCTCTTAAGTTAAAGCATTGCTGCTTATTTGTTTCTAGTCTGAGAGGCAAAACCCAGGACAAACAAATAAAACTCCAAACCACTTCTGCTTCTGCTTGTGGGCCTTGAGCACACGGCAATAACTGAAGGTGACTCAGATGAGTGTATCATTATGTTGATCAATTCAGTTGTCGCACTCGGTGAAAAGTACCCAAGCTGGTCCCAGAGCAGCTCAAGAAGTGTGTATGCGTGTGTGTGTGTGTGTGTGTGTTACGCAAAGGCACCTTGATGGTACCTGCCCAGAGAGAGAGTTGGTGTCCCTTTCACTTTCACTACAGACATTTACCCATTTGGGATCTGTTGCTGCTAATGCACATGGCAAATAAAACCACGCTGCTAAAGCTAATGACTTCCACTGGTTCCCTATTAAAGAAAGCCCTCCGTTTGTAAATGACTATGCTCTTCTATCTCCTTGAACAGTGACACAAATCTCTATCGTAAATTACAGGCTCCCAGATGATCATACTGAAAGCTCATGAACACTATGTTTAGTAACACGCTCCCATGAGGCCATGCTTTTCCACATGTCAGCAGGCTATTATTCTGAGTGTAATAAGGATAAAGGTGGATAGAGATATCAATAATGGGCGTGCACGCTGGCAAGCAACAATAAAGCTCGATGAACGGCTTGACAACGATAATTGCTTCTTTCATCACTCTGCCACTGTAACATGAGTTGATGTATAAGCCATATTTTCCCCTCTATTGTTATTAAAGCCTGATTATGGCACCAACAGGGGAAAGTGACAGAGATGTGGTTTAAATACAATACTCCAATCAAATGTTACCATTGTTTTAAGCTGTAAAACTTTTAAAAGTAAAAGCACTTTTTTCTTTCTTTTTTTTTTTTTTTTACCAAACTATCTCTTATTTGTAGCCTGCCTCTTCTCTAGTGTATTAATGTATTTTACCTGTCAGTTTTTCCCTCTTAACTTTCATCGTTCATGGCATGAAGCACCTAAGGCTAAAAATGTCTTTTTTGGTCCTAAAAACAGTTCGGCGAGGGAATAGTCCCAGAGCTGCAGATCTGAAGGAGAGGAGAGTGGGCGGTTCATTTTACAGAACAGTTAAATCTGTGCAAAACAGCCTGAGATAAAACACTCAGGAGCTGGGAAAAGTGTTTTTTTTTTAACCTGGAGTACAATAACACAACAAAATGTACTAAAAACCATCTGCTTATATTATTTGTTCGAAATTGTTGTGCTATAATTTCATGAGGGATATCTATATTTTAAGATATGGCATCAGAGATTGCTAGATGATTTCTCATTGTGAAATACAAACAATTAAACAATATACTGATGAGATTTGTTTTGCATATTGGATGAAACAAATTATGTTTGTTTAAAGGTGTACATTTATTTTTGGGAGAATCACTGAGCCCACAGCTTTATACCTCCTAAAAGCAGTACTGTGATTTTAATGCTGACACTTTCATGCCAATATTTATCACTTACAGTGTGTATTAATCACCTTAGTCTAACATTTGGTTATGAACCTTCGACAGAATAGTTCTAAGGCTTGTTGATGATAATCTTAAATTATAGACAAATGAACTTTTGATCTGATGATGTTGTTGGACTAATAGTTTGGGATCACCAGACTGGTTGTATGCACCCTATCCATCTCTATCTCATTATCTGGTAATGGCAACTGTTCATCCAAGAGTTTTTGAGTCATTTGTGCCATGGTGGAATAATATACCATAGAGTAATGCATTGTGAAGCAGCTTGGATAAGGGTCAGCACCTCTAAATACAAGGCCATAGATCTCTGGGTTCAAGTATCTTGAGATCTTGTTCACTAATGAGTGTAAAATAGATCACACGATTGGCAATGGCTTGACTTTGTGGTTAAATTACATGCCTGGTGTAGAGAGACTCCTCGAAGCAGACGGTCTGGTTGGTGTTTGAATTCATACTGCAGCCCTCCCCCCCTCATAATTTCTTGTTCCCATTCCTAATCCAATTCTCTCAATAAAGACATAAAAACTAAAATTAAGATAAGAAATATGAAATCATGAGATGAATAGGCTGGTTTTGAGGTGCAATCGTCATGGTGAAGAGGGAGCTAAGCCATAAGGCAAAACCTCCAACTTACTAGTTCCAACCATAGACTGTATATAGAATAGACACCGTCTGCCTCATCGCTGGGTAAAGCCACCCAGAGAATAGCACCCTCTGGTGACAGGCTGCAGTATAGGTCATAAATCCTGCCTCCAGCCATCCCTATGGAGCTGTGGACAAACTTTAGAAATTAATTACACATAATATCATTTTTTTTCCCCCTGCTTGCGACGTTGACATGCAGTTACTGAAAGACTGGTTTGTGCTCAAGTCCTCTTTTTTCTGTGCAGCTCCATTTTTAAAAGTTATTAGGGGATTTATGTATTCTATGATTGACACTTGATATAGCCTACGGGTGAACGAAGATTGCGTAGCTCACCCGGGGGATACGCTGTTTGAGCCGAGCATCAGCACAGTGGCTCTCAGTTGAATGTGTACAGCGTTACTATGCAAGTGGTGAAGTGCATACAAGCTACTGTGCAATGTTGGTTTCAGGAGGTGGAGAAAAAAACAGAAATACCGAGAGCCTTTTAGCTTCAAATCCATACACTGGTGGAAGGTGGAACCAAGTTGTCCATAGTATATATAGTCTATGGTTCCAACACTCAACTGGTCGTGATCTTTGGCTGTGAGAGTGTGCACACAAGCAGCTGAAATGAGTGTCCAAGCTCGGCTCAGCTCAAGTGACAGGGTCAGGGCCTTGGACAACCAATGGATGCACAGATCAGAGTTGTTACTTCTTTGCATTGATAGGGGTCAGTTGAGGTGGTTCGGGCATTGGACTGGAAATCGTTGCAGGACAGAGGGATGTCTGGGCTCAGCCTGTAAGCACTGCAAGCTGCTCCTTAATAGGTGGGAGAAAGTGGATGGATTTAAGTGATAGATTAACCTGAACCATTGAGGAATCCATGCATCATTATAAAAACCTCAGAGCAAAACAAAATTACGCATGAATTATTGTCACATTTTACTTCTTTATTAGCAAACATTTGACCTTAAATGCTGCTATTAAATCTAAAAGTCATAAAGTTGTCACAACCCTCTCTCTTGGACTCTCTGCAATGATGAAGCTGTTTGGTACCTGTTGCTCCCGACTAACATCAATCCTTCCCAATCACACCTGGATGTTAGTGAGTTGTTTGCCTGCTTGTCCTTTGCTCAGTCATAGATCCATTTATTCTGTCATTGATTTAACCACAGATTCAGCTGCTCAGTCATTTTGGCAGGAACCTGTAGGATCCTCATTTATCTATGTTTGATGTGTGTATTAAATCATCTTCATCCTGGAGGAGCTCATTTGTTATCGCGCCTTGGCTTTGACATGCTGTGACAACCATGACAAAACATTGTTTGTCCTGTTAATTAGCAGTCAATGCTTTACAGACAACAAGAGTCTAAGGCCAAAGGTTCCCCTCATAGTACTCAGAAAGCTATTTGTCCAGAAAGATATCAGGGTTTACTTCAACCACAGCTTTAGGATGAAAGGAAAATAAAAGAAACTAACATTTTGGACAAGGTTCAGTTGTTTTCCTGTCAGCTTCTGTTTACTTAAGTATGAGACGGATTTTACCGCTGATTTCCCCTGTGTAATTTTCTTTAATTATTTCATCAAATATATATAAACATGAACTTAATTATGAGGTTTAAATCCTGGCACAATGCTGTTCATTTTGTCTTGTCACTGTCTTGCAGCTGGTAGAAGGAGGCCTCACTTTTGGGAGAAGCGTTAAATGTGTCAGTTCTTTCTTTATCGTAATAAAGGCTCCTTTTACAGCTATTCTCAATAATCACCCATTTACACCACAATATAATGCAGTATTTTGGATTTCCTTTGATGTTTGTATATCGTATCATAAAGTTAAGCAAAGGAGATGTTCTGTGTTCACTCTTGCAGGGTTTTGTGGTTCAAAAAGCAAATATTATGTCAAAGTCAATTTCTTCACCACCTGACATAAAACCAGATTACACAACCTCTCATACTCTAAGTGGGAAGCTTGAATATAGTCATCTTATTAGGCGCTTGCCATTTCAAGTTAAGATATTTAAGCATCTGTTACGCCTCGTCTGTAGTGTATAACGACCTATGATCCTCCCTCTGAGGTGGTTACAGAGGTGGGATTAGGGGAAGGAGGAGGCGATGTGTAGTATCAAAGCTGGCCAGTGCTGTATGTACGTGCTTATCTGAGTGTGTGTGTATGTGTGTTACAAAGCAGTGCCTCTTGCAGTCCCACAACCACGTAATGTGATGTGTAATGACTTACTGGGACACCAATATCAGGTCTTTATAGGGTGCAATCTGTAAGTACCAAGGCGTGATAATGGCAGCACTGTTGTGCCCCGATTGATTAGCAGCCATACAGATGACGGGTGGTGAAAACCCAGAGACGTTAGGCTGTATTTCCAGGTAAAAAAACATATTGGATAGACCACCAGCCAGCATCAGAACACAGTTGGTAGTATATAGCTGACCTCTTTGGTGTTGCTAATGTTATGCTGTGTTCCAGTTGTACTCGGAATTTGGAATCTCCAAGCTCCAAGTCGGAAATTTATCTGGAACGCCCCCCGAAGTCGGACGATCCTCGCCAACCCTGACTTGATGACAATGTCATTATCCAAGATGGCAGCGCAGTACATCAACAGTAAAAAGTAACAGTAAAAGCTCTACGTCTATTATTATTTATGTTTATTTATTTTAATATAATGTTTATTTATTATTTATCAGCACTTTTGTTTTGTTTTTGTGAAACTGGTTTATGTTGTACTGCCCAACGTCTAACTGTGAACACAGTGCTATGGTGTTTGTAAGAGTAAAATACTTATGCATTGTTTACAACTGGTAAAGCTAACAACAACTGTCAATGGCTCACAACAGCTGACAATTGTAAACAATAGCTAACAACGCCTAACAGTAGGCGTCCATCTTGGTTTTCCAACTTGTTAACTGGAACGCTGTCAACTCGGGTGTAGCCTCTTTCCCAGCTCCTTGTTGTTTATCTGCAGCTTCCTCTCCTCTCTTGCTATCGCGGGGCCTATGAGGGATTTATCTCCACAAGTGACAGCCCAATCCAGTTAACATTTAGTTCTGTCAAACCAATACTCAAACTCCACCCCTCAGCCCAGTCCTCTATTGCTTTTGCCTCTTATACTTTTGCCTCACAGTTTCAGCTTGGAGGGTCATGTTTTTTTTTTTTTAATCTTTAAACAACTAATAAAGAGTCTCTGCTGTGATGTGTTCATTCTTTCCAAATTACAAGGAATTATGGTCACAGGTTAAGTCATTCATTGACTCTGGAAGCCTCGTGAATCAGGATTTCTGGACTGACATGATAACCGGCAGAGCTGATTGAGGGGGGTGACCTTCACACACGCTTATCCAGGCCTGCTGCACTGGGCAACCTAATATTGGCATTGGATTATTCCTACATTCTTAATGAGTTTACTCAGGCTCTGGATCAAGCAACCTCCATCAAGGAGCATCCATGCAATTATATTTATCAGGACTCCAAATCTAAACTGGGCGGGTGGACAAATGGGCTGGTTTTTAAACAGGAATTTTATAAATCGCATTGATCTCAGTGCTGAAAATCATGCCAACAGGGTGCAGGTACTGTCAGAGTAGAAACATAATTCAATTTGTGAAGTAGTCCCCATTCGCCCCTTTATTTTCTAACATCACACAGCCCAGAACTGTTTGATGTTCATTTAGGGATCCTCTCTTCTCATTTAGGGCCAGCACCTTGATCAAAAAGATCAGCAGCTTAACCCAGAAGAGTAAGAAAAATAGAAGAAACACACAGCTGATAGATGGGTGAAAATGAAGCTATCAGTGGAAGTATTCAGCATCATTCCTTAAAGGATTAGTGATGGATTTGGCTTAATAAATGCAGTTCTCCTGCCACACGTCGAAGTAGTATACATCCCTTGTGTGCTTTGAGTGAGTTGTGGGACTAACTTTTCCCTGTGGACAGGAAGTCTAATGAGAGAGGCCAAACTCATAAAGTGAACAGAGCCCAATCACATATTCTTGACCTTGTGGGGCCATTCTAATGAGGGAAACCTTTGAGGAAGAGGAGCAGCACTCCAGTATTTCATTAAACTTAATGATTTCCTTTAATTGTGCTTAAAGGTTGAGTAATAACTGGTTTAATCAATGGGATCTCTCATTGTCCACCTTTTTTGTAGCAAGAGGGGAACTGAGGGGAACATGTTGAATCTTCAAAAAGATGAATAAAAAAGCTGAAGTAGATAACATTTATAAATCACTAAAACTGTCTTCGGCTTGTCACATGAGATGTTCAGATAATTAGAAATTCAAATGTCTGTACTTGAGCTAGACTTAAGGGTACTCACATCCCCTTAACTTATTTTGAAATAAGTTCTTTTTTACAGATTTCGTCTTCTGTACTTTTGCCAGCAGCACTTAGTAACCATCTTTAAAAACAATCGTTGCAACATTTAGCATTCAAAATGACACTGCCAGTGTGTTTTCTTTGGCTGATTGTAAAACCCATGTTTTGTAGTTCTAATATGGCACACCTGTGTAAATTGCGACACAGAACAAGCATTATTTTTTCTTTGTTTAGGTCACAAAAATGGCTTCAGTTTTTAAATCGATTGTAAAAAGTGTTTGAATACCTTGATAGTGGATAAATCTCCTTCTTTGATCATTTTTCTCCCTCAGTTAAATCCTTGGGCAATAACCCCTGTATCCCGGGAGAAGCAGCGTTGTTTGGGATCACTGACACACCTCTCTGGGCTTGTGTGCCTTTGATCGATGTTTTTCAGATTGACTGAGTTAACAGTAGCCTGGAGGCTGCACCTGCGACCTGGCTGCAGGGATTATTTTATGTCCCTGCTCACAAAGCCAGAACAGTTTAAACCAGCAGGGCTTGTGTTGTGCTATTCCACCCGCTCAGCAAACAGGCCCCCAACTTATCATGCCATTCATGCATTTTGCAGCTCTGCCGCTGCTTGTAATCACACAAACTGTCACAACTTTGACACCAGTACATATGTTCAGGAGCAAGAAGTGACTAATGGGCTGTCTTTTAAGCAAAGTTTGGTTTGATTTGATAAAGAAATAATGCATACATTGCTTTACATTAAGGCTTTTGTTGAATTTTTCAGTGCCTTGAACTGCATAATAAGTGGATAAGAATTGCCTCTATACTGAGCTGGTAGGTGGTACTTCAAACTTGAGGTACTATGGTGTAGGGATAGGCCATAAATTACTGTTCATGATACATCGTCAGAATAATCCTCCATGATAAATATTTGCCATCTCATGATAAATACGATAAATGCAAGTTGATGAGGTAAGTGCGAGCAACGGACTTGCAGCCGTAGCCCACACAGATCAGAATAACAAACAAACATGGCCGAAGTTAACGGAGAAGACGTTTCTGAGCAGCTTGTTACTGAACAAGGCTCCACATGAGGGATGTCCTTCTACCTACCACTCAAACTTGTGTGTTAAGTATCTTATTTGACTATTCCAACTGGTGTTTTCATGACAAAATGAGTCAAAAATATTGATTGGAATTATAACATTTTTTATCGAGACTTTTATCTTTATCGCCAGAATGGCAAATCTTATCGTGATAAATCTTTTAGCCCATATCGCCCATCCCTATTATGGTGATGTTTTATCCAAATTTGATACCAAGTGAAACATACTATGACTTGCCAATCAAGCAGATTATTTTTTCCTGTTTTTTTTTTTTTTTAGAAAATGAGTCATTCATACAAGTGGTAGTTCCAATATTTTTCATTATGGAAGCAGTAAACGTGTTGCACACAAGCACCTTAACTACACTGTGCAGAAAATTAGAAAACAGCATGCAATAAAAAGATAAATAAATACAAGCACATTAATTTAGGCCCTTAATACCTTGATTTGCAATTGTGCCATGCTGACAGACCTAATTACGATAGTTTATCCTTGCTTATGAATACATACATACTGCTGAAGGTGCAACTCATTTTTTTTAGAGCAATTGTGTGGAGGTGATCACAGCGAAACACTATTAATCAGTGGAATTGAGTGTTGCAAAGGTTGTTTATTTCTGTCATTACATTTAAGGTACTAATATAAAACTGTTATTTGAGTTAATTCTGGTTTATTATTTCAGCCCATCATGTTTTTCATCTGAGCTGTACTGACTCATCATATTTGTTACAGCTTTTGGAGGAACTCAACTCCAACTGGATTCTCATGTCCTGGTCAAATTGTTTGCAAAGAGCAAAGCATGAAAAAATTAGGTCTTGACCAAGATAGCAGTTTTTTCTGTTCAGGAGACTACAGTGCCAACAGGAGATTGCAAAGGTGCTAAGTTTGTGATTGTATGTGCTTCCCTTAGTTTTAATCAATTGATTTAAAGTCCCACTCCAGTCATTTTTTAAACTACTGTAAGTGTTCTCAGTGGTCTTTAAGTTGTGATTGTTAAATCTTTTAGCCAAAATCAAGTTACCTGTATCATTTTTGAGAGCTTTTCTTCTGCAGAGCTCCAGTAGCTCATTAGCAATTCGCCTCTGAGTCGTGGGCGGAGACAGCTCTGCTCTGCACACTCGTCTTCACGCTAGCTTGCAGCCTGACATTGCCGGTGTAGTAGAAGCAGCAGCTAACATAGGAGCTATTCAGCCCTTGGACATGAATGTCCTTGGGAACATAATGAAAGTTAACATCATAATTAGCTTTCTTATGAGTATTCTAATCGACTAACGCACACGCTTGTTCCACAATCGTCTTCTCTATTTCTCAGAGTCTGGCCTGCATAGCGGGGCTCCAGGGGCGGAGCTTGGATTTGCTACGTAGGAAATCTCACTGTGTCTGAACCTGCCGTTTGGGTCTGCCAGAGATTCACAGCGATTTGAATGCAGAAATACTACAAAATGCAATTTCACACTTACTTTTCTCATGATATGTCCTTTAGCATCAGAAAAATGCCATATGAACATGTAGACAACAAGAAAATGATTTTCATCGGAGTGGGTCTTTAAAACTTAATTAAGAAAGACTTGTTGAACTCTACTTAAGGAAGATTATTGATAAAATTTTATATTATTTTATATCAAACTTTTTTAGATCATATTTGCAATGGCATCAAGGCAAACAGGAACAATGACTTACTATATATCAAGGGCTCTCTTATATGTGTAAAAGACACAGCAGTGATGAAGATTAAATTCAGATCTGGTGAATAATCGGTGTCAACCTCAACTAGTATTAAATCCTGCTGCTCATTATACAATATGGCAGAGTTAATTACTTATGCTTAGTACCTTATAATTTTCTATAGTCAATATTAAGTGAAAATCTTGATAGAAAAATAATTTAGCTGGTGGAGCGGCTCGATATAAAAAAACAAACAAGCAAAAAACAGTGCACCTGAATGCACCAGTGCGCTGCTATAAATGTTTCTTTTGAGGCTTCTCTATAACTTTTCCTCTCACTCTTCTGTCTGTTTGTTCATCCTCTACATCAGCCTTGTTATGCCACTTGAGATCCATTTGCTCCCTTTAATTTGTAAAACTCCAACAAACTGTCAAACGCATCCTGGCATTATCTCTTTCCAACTCACAGAGGTCCCTCCTGTTGAGCCCGTTGCAGCCAACATCTCTGATCTGTAACTTCGAGGCTCTGCCTTCGTAATGTTCAACCAGGGAGCAACTCCAAACAGCAAAGCACACCGCTGGTTCCGCTGTTTTAATGTGATTTTGAGGCCTTCTTGGCAAAGGATGTACACATCCAATAAATGCAGCGTCAACAAGAGTAATAGCGTTATTAAATGCTTATAAATATATAAAGAGATCTTTGTCTTTGATTTACTCAATTAATTTTCTTGAGCAGATCTATTCAACGTTAGATCAAATGTGAGGAAATAAAAGTCAGGGCTCACATAGGTCCTCCAGTGTTTGAATGTCCCGCAGAGGATTGGATGAATATTGCTTCTCTTGGAGCTCAAATCTTCCACACATGCCTCTGCTGGAAATATATCATAAGCCGTATATTGTGTGGCCATAAACCTGTTGGAGTAGCAGAGGCTGCACTCTGAAAAGAAGAGGAGTTTCTGCTTTGCGTATGTTGTTGACCGGGGCACTAGGCTGTAATGTCTGAAGGCTTTGTTCCCAAAGATTTTGAGCACCAGACAGCCATAACCCTTCAGGCTATGTTAGTGTGTGGATCTAACTCATGTGAAATTGATGTGTGGGGGGACACTGATCCGTGCTGAAATGGGACAACACCCGAAAAAAAAAAAATGTCAGAAACATTTTCATCCACGCCTCCCTTTAAGCACCACAATTTTCTCTGGGAGCCATGGCAGGTCAGGCATTCAAATCAAAGGGGCACATACACAGTTAAGGGCCTAGTTGTGACCAGCATTTCCTGCTTCATGAATCACGAGTGAGCCACAGATGAAAGGGGTTTCTCTGTCGGCGCCTGCTGTCCCTGAAGAGAGGAAGTAATGCGCAGCCATGTCATTATTCCCAGAGGAGCCTCTCAGCTCCGACATGTAAGTGGAGTGAAATATGACATGTTTTTTCTTTATTAGGAGATCATGTCTGTCCTAACACTGTTTTTTAACTTGTGTTTTTTTTAGAGGTACAACTGCCAACAACTACTGTGTTTTAAATATAACATCTGATGACTATAAATAGAAAGAATTAAGTTTGATTTGCTTTTACATTCTTGGTTAATAGGTATGGTTGATGATTGGAGAGATTGGTAATTATTATGAACCTTGTTTATATGGCCATCATGGCCCTATAGTGCGATCTCCACAAAATGAAGAGAAAAAAGAGAATGGAAAAAATCTGTTTACCCTCGCTGGTGCAGGGCTGCAAATACATTGACCAATGGGAGCCATCCATCCCAGAGAGCTCCTATTGGTCAATCTCCTGCTCCGCCTCTCCATCCAATCACCTCACTGTATTTGACACACCCCTCTCCTAGTTGCGACTCATCCCCTCCCTTTCTCCTGGCCCTCCTTGGAGCTCTGAGGGGCTGAAAGTAGCGTAAAAGTAGTAGAAGAACACTTCTACTTGCCCCACCGCCGAAAGTCTTAAGAAAACGCAAGCTGACAGAAGAAAGGGCAGAGTCGAAGAGGAAATGTGACCAAGCGAGGAATCTAACTCGAATAAACATCGGGTTATCCTTTGAGTAGTGGAGAGAGCGCTGTCAGGATTTGGGCCTAAAACAGATGCTGAAACAGCAGAGATTTTGTTGAACAGGTAATTTTTGCCTTTTATCATGGCACATGTTACATAAAAAACTCTTATAATTCTCTGAAATGTCAACACAGTAGCTGTCCAGGCAGCTGCAGACGGTGCTCGCTAGCAGAGCTGGCGTTTACTGCCGCTAGTCACTAGCAATCCAACATGGTGAATCCTATTTGAAGCTAGCATAGGATCCTCTGCCGGTCGGCTTCTTGTTCTGCCACAGGGGTGTGTGTCATGGGGAGGGCGATAAAGGTTGGGGGGGGTTATCGTGGAGCACAGAGGGGAGAGGTTTGTGTGTGGAGGGTGGGACGCTTTTTTCAAATCTGCCTCAACAGCTCAGTTTTTTTCAACTGCTTCTCAGATCGTCAACCATGCCTTGAAATTAATCATTTCTTCACACACCCGTTCATCTACACAGCACGTTTGCTGGCGTTTTGCCATGTGTTGTGAAAATCTGTGGACCATTTTGGCTTTGGTTGCCGCAAATAAAACAAACATTGTTCTTCCCCTCCACTTTTCCAATCATGATCACCTGGTAGTATCACCTAAATTTGGACACAGGCACATAGAGATTATTAATTCCATACAGGCACAAAACAGAAAAAGTTATGGCTGTATGCTATGAACCCTTTGTGACTGTTTTGTATCAACTTACTCAGTTAACTTTCTTTTCCATGGATGTTGTCTTTTGAGTCTGGACTATCACAGAGTAAACTAATTGTTGTTCACACTCCACTTGTGTGGCAGTATTTTCATTGCTGCTTTGAAAGATAATTAGCTCGTGGTGGTCATAATACCTCCTAATGGCGGAGCACTTACTGCACAGTCTGTTGTAAGCCTTGATATTGAGAAACTACTGTAATGATTTTTTTCCTTTCTTCAACAAACATTATGGTGTGAAAATACAGGAGTAATCTCCCCAATTAATGCAGTTTATATTACAAAGAATAAAAGAATCAATAATACAATTATACTATTTGTAAGTTGTAGCTTCCATTCTCTCTGACACTTGCACAGCGCAGTAGAGATAATAGTTTAATCTGTGTTTTATACCCCGTGTTGGGGTATGTAACGTCTAATATAAGGAAATCTCGCCTTCTTCCTCTGCAT